CGTTTTTTGTAGAGATGTAAATATAATCTTGATCTTCTAAAAAATCGATCTTTTTTTGCAAAAAACTCGATCTGTATAAATAAATGCTAGTAAAATCCTAATTTAGCACCAATTGATAGTTATTATAAAACTGAATTTAACACATATACCAGCAAAATCTAAACACTCCAGGTAAAAATCCTAGTTTTTTCGAGATTTATCCTTCGATTAATATTCATTATTAAATTAATTTCCATCGATTCGTGCAATATTATATGCTTTGTATTCAAATTAGGATTGTATACGAATAAATTAAAACGCTAACAAAATATGGGAACAATATTATTTATTACCTTATAAATAATATCAAACGACCGTTTCGTCAACACAAATGATTTTTTTATGTTCTATATTTTAGATATTAAATTCAAATTTTTTATTGACAACTATTATTGCATCTTTAAGGAAGAATTTATGCCCAAACACAACTTTTCTTGCTTTTTTTCATGCTTTGATCTTTTTAGAATCAAAGAATGATAAATTTCAGGCCAGAAATTTCAGGAGTTTTTTCCAGGTCTCTTCCAGAATACATAAAATTCCAGTATATAATTCCAGGATCCAAGGATATTCAAGGACCGCTAGACACCAACTGTATACAATATTTCATTAACTTTATGTCAGTAGATGATTTATGTCAGAATTACTACAAACGTTAGATCTAAATTTTTAAATCTAGATTTTAAAATTAAAATTATTTTACTCGGAGACAAATTAAAATCATGTTATATTGGGTATGGGAAAAAGTTCGTGGCGATTTTTTAGTAAAATTAAAGTGTTTTTCTTAGAATATTGAAATCAATTTATTTAAACCAAATATGCTCCATTATTTTCTATAATATTTTGCCATTTTTGGGGCAGAGCCATAATTCCATCGTGATAGAACTTCTGTGGTTTCTGATCGAAAAACTACTTCAAGTGATTTTCATAGGCCTCTTTTGAAGCTAGCTTTACACCATTAAGAGAGTTCTGCAGAGACCTAAACAAGTGATAGTCTGAGGGTGCTATGTCAGGACTATATGGTAGATGCATTAAACTTCCCAGCCAAGCTCTCGTAATTTTTGCCGAGTCATCAAAGATGTGTGTCGAACGTTGTCATGATGGAAGACGACATCTCTCCTATTGATTAATTCTGGCCGCTTCCTCTCAATTGCTTGTTGTAATCTCTGCAGTTGTTCACAGTAGAGAATTCGGAATTAATTATTTGATTGGACGATAACAGCTCATAGTGAACGATTCTCTTCCAGTCCCACCACACACATAACATCACCTTCTTCCTCGTCAATTCAGGGATTGCTTGCACCTTCTCTCTTTTCTTTATTCACAATCTTTTTCTAGTTGGATTGTCGTAGGTGATCCATTTTTCATCACAAGTTATCATTCTCTTCAGACATAGTTCAGTTTCAGTAGCGTATCACAAATGTTAATTCGGTCCATCATGTTCCTAACACTCGTGAGGAACCCAAACATCGAGCTTCTTTTTTGTATTCAGCTTTGTGTAAATGATTTAAAACTGTTTTGTGGTCGATGCATAGTTCCCTGGCAATCTTCACAGTGCTCACGCTCGACTTTTATCTTTTATGATTTCATCGGACTTTTCAGTGATTGGTCGACTGGAGCGAGGTTCATCTTTCACATCGAAATTTCCAGCACGAAAGCGAACCATTTCCATGCTGCTGATTTTGATAGAGTATCTTCACTAAATAGCGCAAATTTTTTCACAAGCCTGTACAGCATTCTTGCCTTTATCGTAGTGATACTGCAAAATGTAGCGAATTTTTTTATTATTATTTATTTCCATTTTCAAAATAAAATAACTTTTGATCCACTTCACCGATTTCAATCTTTTTCGGCTCAAAACAAAGATTAAAATGTCACTTTTTAAACGCACATCTAGTGTTGCGATTAGTAGTTGCCGACTGTTGAACATTTAATGCCATCTAGCGGGAAAAACGCCACGAACTTTTTCCCATACCTAATAATTATTTTTGTTAAATTTATACGATTTCAGTGAGAAATGACAATGGAATCAATATCGATTTGACGCTGAAATCATCAAATTGATATCGATTCAATTTGATATAATTTGATATCTATTCCATTGTTATATTTCTCTGAGATATGACATTGAGATGTTACTAAAAAAATTTTAATCGATTAAATTGAATCGATCTCCAATAGATCGATTTATTCAGCTCCGATTTTAAATCCAGCAGATCGATTTCAATCAATCCGATTCAAGATTAATTCAGAAATCGATTCAATTAACAGAGATCGCACATCCCTAGTTTTTTGAAAGAACACATTATAATACAGTAAGGCCGGATTCACACCTTGATGGAAAAGCGGAAGCCAATCAGAATTCGCAGTAGTAGGCGATACATTTTCGCTTGTCTGCTTCTGTCTTTCCGCGAGTTCTGATTGATTTCCGCTTTTCCATTTTTCTGTCAAGATGTGAACCCGGCCTAACAATTTTGAAAGTAGCAGATAATCTTAAGCAAGATAAGTGAAATCTCCGATTTTTAAGCCAGAAAAAACTGGTAACCGTGCCCAAAGACGAGTATCGTTGTACGCACGATTCATGTATCGAAGATCTAACCAATCGCTGACGCCATTTTAACATCTTTAATTGGAATCAGCAATTAATCTTAGAAATGCCAATATGCGCAAATATATAATCAGCGCCATCCTTGTTTTCAAACGCAAAATAGCGCAAAATAGACTTCAAAGTAAAAGTTAAGAGTGATAATTTTTTTATGTAATCTCCCTGTTTTCTTAAAATTTTTCAAAAATAAAACTTTTCAAAATTTTTGAATAATTTTAACTTTTTAGAACATTTCAGACTTGTACAAATTGCAACATTTTTCAGTGTAGAGAAAATTTACATCTTTCCTAGAATTTTTCATACATGTGAATTTTGAAACATTTTTCTAAGATTTCTGATTCTATTAAGTCTCATTTGAGTGAGAAAACCAAGCATAAGAAGTTTCATAAAATCTCATGACATCTGAAAAACTTTAAAATATTTTTCTAGAAGTACAGAATGAGAGATCTTATAAATTTTACAATATATTTTGGAATTCAAATTTGAAAAATTTTAGGAAAACATTAGGAACATAGGAATTTTGCAGTATTTTTGACAGATGCCATTTGTGCACAAATTATGAAAAAAATTTTTGTCAAAGCTACTATATTATTTGCCTTTATTAAATAAGTGTATAAGACAAAAGATTAAATTTGTAACGAAGTTTCCGGGCGTACATATTTTTTAATAATTTTAGTAATTAAAATAAATGTGCGCTTTATAATTTTTATAACGTTAATAATAAAATTTATTAAATATAGACGATATTTATAGATAGTAATTTTCGACATAGTTATTCTCAATATTATGAATACTTTCTACATGACGAAATATAACTGTGTGACTTATGTGACTTCATTAGATGTCGGTATACATTGTTATAAATTGTTTAAGGTAAATAAATCAAAATATTTAATTATTTACTACAGTTGCATATTATAGATTTATTATAAATACAAGAATTACTATCTATAGGACATCAGATCACTATGAAAGAATTAGGAAAAAGTTCTATGCAAGTATATCTCTTCACTCCATGTTATATTTTGCACAGCCTGGTTTTTTTCTTTCTTCTTTTGAGTAATTTTAATCAGTAAGTAAATTAGCATTATTCTAGTTTAATTCGCACATTATACGCATCTCTCTTTTCACTAATCTATTATGTACAATATATTACACATAAACACTTCTATTTATCTTGTATTTTGACATAAAAATAATTTTTTTATATTGTTCTTCACTTTCTTCGTCTTTTTTTGGGCGTTCTCCCATTATCAGAAGACTGAATACTAGCGTCATGTTTATTAAAATTATTATGCTACAAGAATGTTCTTTTTTCTTAATTTTTCTTAAACAACGCGTAACAATAGTAATCTCTTTACAAACAATCCTGACGTGACAATATACAAAATTTATTATGAATGGTGACATTAAAATTTCTCTTTATTATATGGTTTTTTACAATTTCGTACTATTTAATTGATCAGAATTTTTGTTTCCGTATTTTAACCTAGTCCTAGTTAATCAATTTACATGTTCGTGATGAAAGTTTGTTTTACCGCACCAAATATTATAGCATTTAGATTGCTAAACTGAATTTAATGACGTTGATATAATTGAATGCACATATATATTATAATTTCTGTAATCTCTTTATGATGTTATATTATTAAATATGAACGCATATTAACGCCGTTTTACTTTCGATGTTACCATCAATAAATGCATGCAGGATGCAAAACTTGATTGGATGTGGAATGCTATGTATGATTTTTTGACTTTTCCTGCAATACGAATGAATTAAACGATACAAAATTTATTTACATTTTCCATTGTCAAGAATTAGGTCTTTATATCCTCATTATTCTGACGTTTTTGATTTTATGCGACACTTTTCTTTTGGAAGAAGCATTTCTAATGCATGTTCCAAATAAGCAAATTGCAAAATATGTTACAGTTTGCAATTTTATTCTTATTATGAAATCAAATAGTTATATTAAATATATTAGCATTCACATTGTCAATATTGTTGTCAATTACAGCAGATAAAATAATTTTCAGAGAAATTGGTTGGGAAGAAAAAAATTTATATATATATAATATATAAGAGGAACATGTATCTGAAATACATGTATATTCCTCTCTTTGATACATTAAACGATACATTATATATAATAGTGCAGCAAACAATACGTTCAATATGATACATAATATAAAAAATTGATAGAAATTCATCATAGCAAAAGAAAACAATTAAAGTTTGAGAAATATTCTAAATATGAAATATATACAGGACAGTTTGAAAACTATGTATGCGTTGTTCTCATATTATTTGCTTTTTTTATGAAATAATATATAGAAGAATATATTATGTCCTTTATAAAATAATTAAAATAGCGATTTTTTTACGCGAATGTCCTAATTCAATTTTTTATCTATAAAAATTGTCCATCTATCGATAAGTAAACGATTATACCAAAGTGTCGCATTCTTTAATTATTTGTTAATTATGTACATGCTGCGCCTGCTGAATGTCATCATCATTGCTATCGTCTCGTTTTACGTATTGTGGTTTTTCAACACCTTTCACGCACTGTTCTGTAATGTGAACGGACATTATGTCGCTCCCTGGTACTTCAAACATAGGTTCCAAAAGGAGTGACTCCATTATCGCTCGCAAACCCCGCGCTCCCGTTTTCCTTTCCATTGCTAAAGAAGCAATTGCATTCAGTGCGTGTATGTCAAACGTTAATTCCACCTGTGTAATATAATTACAATTTAATGTGCTATTAACAACTAATGTGATTGAAAACAATTTATCTTGATTTTATTATGTAATAATTAAACTTTACCTTATCCATCGAGAATAACATCTGATATTGAGGAATGATGGCATTTTTCGGTTCGGTAAGAATTCTCGCTAGCATATCTCTATCGAGTGTGTGGAAAGGCACAAGAACAGGAAATCTGCCAACGAATTCAGGTATCATACCGAAGTCGATGAGATCTCTAGCTTCCACTTGTTGCAACAACATGTCCTTTTCCTTATTATCCTTCTCGGTAGAAGGTGACATATTGGCAACATCGGCTAAAGTTGCCGCTCTCCTGCCGGGGGCTCTCTCGACCGCGGGTGTCGCGCCAAATCCGAGATATTTTTCCGATTTGCGCCGCGCTATTAACCTGTCTAAACCGCTGTAAGCTCCCGATGCTACGAAAAGAATATTCGTAGTATCCACTTGCAACATTTCCCCACGCAATTTTCTCGAGCTATTTCTCTCCGGTACGTTCACAATTGTTCCTTCCAACATCTTCAGCATTCCTTGTTGCACACCTTCCCCGCCCACGTCACGCAATTGATGAATTCCAGGAATAGCACCTATTTTGTCGACCTCGTCCAAGAACACGATACCCATCTGAGCACGATCCACCACATAATTAGCATCCTGGAGAAGCTTAGCTATGACACTTTCAATGTCCTCGCCAACATAACCAGCTTGCGTAAGAGTGGTACAATCACAGATGGCAAATGGGACATCCAGACATTGCGCTATTGTTTGCGCGAGTAACGTTTTACCAGAGCCCGTAGGTCCAAGTAACAATATATTGCTTTTTTCTAATTTCAACTGATGTTGCTTGCTGTCTAATATAGCTGATCCAGGAGCCGATTGACTGCTCACCTTTTGCTCGTTTCCCGGATTGACTGTGTGCTGGAATCCAACTCCTGGAAACGGATTTCCGAGGCCTGATATATGCAATAAGTCTGTAGCAAAAAAAAGATATTTTATGATAATCGTATATGAAATAATAAATTTTTTGAGGGAGCAAATTATGGAGATACTGCTTATCAGATTGCAATCTGCTTCAATCGCTGTTGTAAGAATTCGATTAGTTTTAAAATATTCCAATTTAAAATATTCCAATTTTATAATACTTATTATAATAATAACCTAATTATAAACTATACAGATTGCTTTCATTTCTTAATAATTTATAAGATTGGGGCATTGTCATTTACGTGATTTAAGACCTCTATGAGTGAAGGGATGATTTGTCTCTTGCGTGCTAACTGGATTAACATTAGTTTGCGCCTGAGAGTTTTGAGTTGGCAGATTATTGTAGATCCGCTTGTAGTGATTGTAAACGGCAACACTCAGCACCTTCTTCGCATATTCCTGTCCCACTACATGTCTATTTAGATACTCAAATATCTGAAAATATCACGTTATTGTTGTACTATTTTTTTTATTGCAAAGCAAATATGATCCAAACGTTATCTGATTTTATTTAGAAAAAAATCTATAATTATATAAATTAAATAAAATTAAATAATCAAAATAAAAATCAATTACCTTTTTCGGAGGTGGAGGAGGTTTCCTATAAAATCCCTGCTTACTATCTTCTGGCCTGAGTGCTTCTTTCAAGCTCCTCTTAGAATCAATTTCTGACAGTACAACAAAGAAATGATGGCACTTCTCGCACTTGACGAATCTCGTGGATGCTGTGTTATTTGTAAAAATAGTAGCTGTATTAGAATGTAATATCAGTATATGTATAAAAATACACATCTTAACATAAATACAAATATAAGTATTCTCAGTAATTTTTGCCTGGATACGTTAAGATCTATTAAGTCCTACTCAACAATGTGCTACTTACAAACAAATGTCTCGACATGTGTGCAGGGATCTCCACACTTGGGACAGGTGAGCGTGCTCTTCTTTCCGCCACCTGTACCACTATTTGAGGATCCACTTGACGAGATGGTATCTTTAGAGGGTGGTGTGGGTTCCGTTGGAGTCTTACTCAAGCTGCCGCTGATCGTCAGGCCTCTACTGGCCACTACGACTCTGACTATTTTGTGTACTGTATAATCACAAGCAAAATATAATCTTTTTATAGATCTCCAAGAACGTGTTTTCTTTCGTCATAATGTACAAGATGTATTATTTTATCTTTGCTCTTTAAATTTTTTTGAGTTAAAATTTTATTTTAAAGAGTAAAAATTAAACCAGCCTTGAAAAAGAATAGTTCAATTTTCAAGCTTTAAGAGTGAGATTTCACTCTTCAAAGTAAGATTTCACTCTTCAGAGTGACAATTCACTCTCAAGTTTTAGAGTGTTGTTCATTAAATATTAAAGAAGGATAAAGTGTGATATATCATAAATATATATGTATCATGTGTATCATGCGTGAAACGTAGCCTAGTTATCTTTCATGCTTAACAATTTCAGCTGTTTTTTCGAGATAGACAAGGCTGTTTACAAATAGTACTTACCATGACTGATGACATGGTTGGAAGAGGCTAAGCGACCCGCGCTAATCAGACAGCAACGCACACAGCTCATGATCGGTGGTGGATCTCTGTGGGACCGAAAGACGCAGGGATAACGGAGCCTGAACTACCTACGACGTTCTGCCCGTTGAGATCTAAAATCAAAGAGGTATTCTCTTGCGTACGATCATATTGCTGAATCGCACCGTACGTTCGAATTGACGGGTCAATAGTCGCATTCACGCGTTTGTGAAATATCACGATGGATGAGTAAACAATCGCGTTGTTCGTCGCGTGTCAAAATACGGGACGAAGTAAAAGACACGATATGCCCTCCCCTCGAAACTGTTTCGTTCTTCTCGAGGGGACTCGCTGCGACTTCGGAGTGCTTCGGAGCGGGTCATCGAACAAAAAATTCACGAGACTCTGAACGGGGCGCGGATTTCCAAACGGAGATGACCTACGTGCAGCCGAAATCCGCGGACATCGTCGAGCAACGTTGGCATCGCGCGACACGGCGCAAGGACGATAACACGGAGAAAAACAGTGATATATCGGTGCCATAGGAGGGAAAAGAGAGGAAAGAGAAAGAAACAGATAGATGGGTGGACGGGAGACGAAACGTTCCCCGAGAATCGTCGATACAATAGGTCGGGGTCTCGTACACTCAGCTGCAATCTTACCCGACTTAATGATAAAAAAACACGACGGACGTCAATCGGTCAATGCCGCGGACGCGCAACGTAGCGCATCTCGGCAAAAACATACGTCGGCGCCTCGAGTCTCCTCGATGATCCTCGCATCCTCTCGTGTGATTTTACGAAACTCGCTCTCGAGACTGTGTCGCGCATAGCGCATACCTTTATGTATCGGTATAATATTCAGATATTTTACCCGACGAGATACTATCAAGCTGGAAACACAATAAAAAGCACAGGAAATAAGAGCTTTCAACTTATCAGAAACCATGAATAATAGAATGGATGCTTTCTGATAGGTTGAAATCTTTTATTCCCTGTTCCTATTGTCTGTGCTTTTCATTGTGTTTCCAGCTTTAGGGTCTAAATAATAATAAAAGAAACAGGGAACAGAAAACAGAAAATAAGAATTTCAACCTATCAGAAGTTATGTATTCTATAATACATGATTTCTAATAGGTTGAAATTCTTATTCTCTGTTCTCTGTTCTCAGTTCCTTTTATTGTGCGGAGTCCCTTATTCTCTGTTCTCTATTCCTTTTATTATGCCTCTTAAAGATCGTCAACTCTGAACAAATTTTCGGCGGTATAAAAAAGATCCCAAAGTCCCGGAGGTAATTGAAGAACGCTGACATTATCGACAATTGATATAAATTTGCTATTATTAACATAAATATTTGACTTATGCATTATTAAATTCATGATTTTTTATTATATTAATGTTCCATAAATAAATGTGCATATTTGTAAAGCTATAATATCCTATATATTGCAGAAAAATTACAATTTTTTCTCTACAATTATCATCTCTGTTGATAATCAAACTTTGACGATAACACTAAAATAATAATTTAAAAAAAAATCGAGTATTATTGAGTTCTAAATATATTTATAAATACATCTACTAAACTAATAAATCATAAAATTAATACAATATTATCAGTTTTTAACTCTTAATTACTTCAATATTCTCAAGAACGTCTTTATTTCGGTTTTTAATAGTATCTCATCGGTGTCGATAGTCAATAATGTCCTCAGTTATCTTCAATGGGATCTTCAATTGTGTATTATTATTGTTATTATTGTATAAGTTAATATTTTTTATAATCATTGGATGCTTTTTTATAATCATTGGATGCGCTATTCATTACATAGTTAATTTGGCATTTGGATAAAAAAGAATAAGCTAAGTTATCGGGAATCACCATCTTGGAATTTGCGTTACTTATGCAATTTCGATTTATATTTTAAATTGATAAGGATTCGAATTGAAGAGTCAAAATGTTTATTTTTATTCATTTTATTATATTCACCAGAAAATAAAGAGTTTTCGATGCATCCGAACAACTGATGTAGGCTCTGATTGGCTTTTTTATATTCTTCACTGATAGATTCTTTCGAACCTCTTTTTATACATTTGTTTGTCAATTGTATATCTTGAATGAAACGAAAATTACAAAAGTGAACAAATTTACTAGAATTATATTCCAAACTGTTTTACAAAATTTTACTCGAAATATATATAATTATATAATACATGTAATATTATATTATAACGAATAAAATTTTCCTTGGAGAGATGTTGACCACTGAAGTCGTAGGTTTATTTTTTTGTTGAGCTGAATTATGTACACTTTTCTATATATCTACACTTTTGAAACGTAAAGCGAAATAAATATATATTTAGTATTTAGCAAAAGTAAAAGTTCTAGCGCAAGAATAAAAAAAGCTGATAAAGAATAAAACTGATGACAAACAATAGACCTCCAGAAAGATGAAAGACAAAAATTTACACAGGGCTGATTATCTTCAATAAATATAGATTTGGATCTGATTTAAATAATTATTCTCTCTCTCTCTCTCTCTCTCTCTCTCTCTCTCTCTCTCTCTCTCTATAATGAATAGAAGATTTAATTCATTCTAGATAATTAAATTTTACTAAATAAAAAAGCTAAAAAGCTCAGATTAACTAATGAATTTACTAATACATATGTAAGTAATAAATTCATTGAATAATATGATAAATTACATTAAACACGCATGTTCCTTTGATTCTAAAAAATTCTACTGTTCTAATTTCATGGCACTTTCCGCAATTGAAATAGTCACGTAATTATAAGATATTGAGAAAAAGGATGAAAAATACAAATTCTATAAAAGAAAAATTGTTTTAAACACTGTTAATCGTAACTGAATTTAATTCAGATATTTCAAATTGTATTTGACTTCCACAATGTGGAATATACGTTATTCAAGCCGAACATATCTATCATTTTATTCAATATAATGAAAGAACTAGATACATCTAATGTTTTTATCGCTTACTCAACTGCGCACCATTCACGCTTGCCTTTGTCACGCTCCAGATTTAATCGATTATTAAAAAAAAAACCCGCAGAGAGATTGTATCGTGACAATTGATCTTATTAACATGCGGGGGACGATAATAATATATGTGAAACTTGCAAAAACATTCGTTCGCCGTGTTTCACATGATCGAGTTAAAGAAAAACAATTCAAGGTTTTTCTGTTCAATTCTACAAATATATCTATACATACTTACGATAAAACTGCGCGCGTATACATTCGATGGATGCATTATTGTCGCGGACGTCGCCGTGTCTTCCCTCATCGATAGACGTTCCTGGCGTTTTCAGCAAAAAAGTCCTTTGACGTAGCCAATCTGAGATTGGAGGTAAATTCAAACTGATCTTGCGTGATCTTCATGAACTTCTCGATTAAATGCGAGATAAAATGAGATAATTTCATATAATTAACAATAGATGCGCGTCGCGAAAATACGCGGCGATGCTCGCGTAACCTATAAGTCGGCGTTTCGTGAGGCACAGGCGGTCGCATTTGATATGCTTTTTTTCATCGCCTTTTATCGAAGAGACGACTCCGATCGATATAGATAATGATAAGGAGAAATTTTGTATTACTGTTATCAGTTGTATGTCAAGGACACTCTTCTGTCTTATCTGAATAATTATCGTCAATTGCACAACTCTCTAATCTCAAATGATATATTCTGTTATATATGTATTACAGAAAATTGGAAGAAAGTCAATTTCGCTGTGGATACAGGAATAATTGAGACACTTCTTCTTAGCAGGGAAAAGTTGTATTGATAAATACATTGATTGGATTTATTTAGAAAGTATCTAATTTGCCTTTGGATCTGAGTACTGCTGATACAATGACTCTCTGTTCAGTGAACACTAGTGATAGTAATTTGGATAATAAAATTACTGAATGGTTGCAATGGAACAAGGTACTTATTACTAAGTATTATGAATGCTTTTTATTTCATCATACAAGTATCAACATGAGTATTATTCTATCTTTGTTACTCATTGATTATCAAGAAAGATATAATGATCTTTGTGTCAACTTGTATCACTAAATGAAAAGTATCTTATTTATTGAAATAATATAAAATAATAATAAATATAGTATTTGCGTTGATAGATTTAATAATATAATCTTATTTTTAATATGATATAGTTTTTTATATTGCAAATGCATTTAAATTATATTATAGTTAAACATTTTTGTACTTGATATTGTAGGATCCAAAAGCAAAAGACGAGATATTGGAATACTTGGACAAAGGCCAAATTAAAATATTATCGAAGTTGTTTCTTAAGAGGCTCGAATTTGGAACTGCAGGTCTTAGAGGTCGTATGGGACCAGGTTATAACCAAATGAATGATTTAGTCATTGTGCAAACTGGTCAAGGATTATCAAAATATTTGATGGATACAATATTCGATGTTATACAGAAAGGTGTTGTAATTGGCTATGATGGTCGTTATAACAGTAAAAAGTGAGTCATGATGTACTGTTATCATACCGAAGAATAGTTAAGACTCATAAAAAAATTTAAACATTAGACTCTAATCCTTTTATTAACACTCTCATTGATAATTTATTAATTTTTCAGGTTTGCAGAATTAACTGCTGCAATTTTCATAGCCAATGGTATTAAAGTTTATTTATTTTCCCAAGTCTGTCCTACACCATTTATACCTTACACTATCTTGAAATATAAGTGTGCAGCCGGGATCATGGTGACTGCCTCTCATAATCCTAAGGATGACAATGGGTACAAAGTTTACTGGGAGAATGGGGCACAAATCATTTCACCGCATGACAAAAAGATCCAAAGCTATATTCTTAATAATCTTAAACCACTTGAATCCTCATGGGATGTAAACCAAATCTATGAAAGTTCCTATTACAAAGATCCCAGAGACGATATTATGCGGCATTATTATCAAGATTTGAAGGATAATGTTTTGTATCCTGAAGTTAATAGAAATACTACATTAAAATTCACGTACACAGCTATGCACGGTGTTGGGCAAGAATATATGACTGCTGCGTTTGAGGCAGCAAACTTTAAGGTATGAATATACATATAAGTATACTGAGACTGTTAGAAATGCAATTTTGGAAAAAATTGAAAAAACGAATACTATTGTCTTTTTTTTCAGCCATTTATAACAGTGGAGGAACAAAAGTTACCAGATCCAGAATTTTCCACGGTGAAATTTCCAAATCCAGAGGAAGGAAAAAGCGCTTTGGATCTCAGCATAAAAACAGCAAATAAAAACGATTCGTCTATAATAATCGCTAATGATCCTGATGCTGATAGACTTGCATGTGCAATGAAGACGGAGAAGTATGCGAACTCTTAATAAATTTAGATTGAGCTACAATAAACGAACAATGTGAATACATTAGATGATCTTTATAGCGGGGAATGGCATGTCTTCTCTGGAAATGAACTTGGCGCCTTATTGGGTTGGTGGATGATTCACACTTATCAAGTGATACATCCTGATGTTGATTTGAGTAAAACATATATGTTAGCATCTACTGTTTCCAGCAAAATTTTAGCTTCAATGGCTAAAAAGGAAGGTTTTAATTTCGAGGTTTGTAATTTTAATACATGTGCACAGCAAAAAATTATATGAAATATTTTAAATAAGACTATTTTTTTATAGGAAACTTTAACAGGTTTTAAATGGATGGGTAACAAAGCTATAGAATTAATGAAGAATAATAAGGAAGTCTTATTTGCATATGAAGAAGCTATAGGTTTTATGTGCGGCTCTAAAGTCCTGGATAAGGATGGTATCAGCGCTGGTGTACGTATAGCTGAATTAGCAGCTTATCTTGAAACGATAGGATTGACTTTATCTGATAAGTTGGAGGAGATATATGAAGAGTACGTTACATTACGTTTATGTGAAGTCTGAAATAAATTTTATGCAACACTTGACAATTTCCATTTATTCCATGATATATAGATATGGTCATCACATCAATGATAATTCCTATTGGATATGTCATGATCCAGATACCATCAAGACGATATTTGAACGATTAAGGAATTATTCAGGCAAATCAGATACAGTAAGTTCTATTTTAATTATTTCTAAGAAGATATTATTTTCTTTCATCAAGTCTTCAAGTAAAGTTTAAAAAGACAGCTTGCATGCTAATTTATGTTAAATTGCCATCTGTAATTTGCACTTTGATTTATATCTATATAACAAAAAATATATTTAAAGAAATAATTATACAAAATTTGATAAATATTCAAAAATTTAATATTGTATAGTATGTAATAATAATTACGTCATTTAAGACATGTGTAAAAAAATATGTCTCATAAATACGTTTAATCATAGTTTTGATTAGCAAGAAAAGATATCTTTCTTAGTAATATAAAAATATATTTGATGTAGAGATACGGCAGATTATATAAAGTTAGTTTTCTGTTGCAAGTGTAATAACGAACATCGCTTCGTTCGCTACTAATATATTCTAATTTGCGTCTAATAGTATGTGCTCGCAAGGTCAATAAATATATGATGCATGAGGTAGCATAAATTGACTAACCACTTTGGAAGTGTAATAAAACCGATGCGCCGTTGTATTTCTGCATGTGTCATCCTAGGTGACAGTTGTGTCGGCAGTGGCGCTTTATCGTTGTCTCATGATAAAATAATAATAAATACAATATAAACTTATAGTGAAAGTTATCTAAGAAAACGTCTTTATTTGGATTTATACTTTGATGTGCAATTATATTTATACTTAATGAATTGATTGTGTTGTAATGCATTAATATGTTTGAGATATATAATCAAGCAAAATTATTTCCAAAAAAAATTGCTTAAAATATTGTCTTTTTTTTTCTCTTATATACCGCCAATGCTTATTAAGATGACAAAAAAAATTATTTACAACAAATACGTAAATGTGATTGTTATATCATTGACATTACTGCCTTCCGTGCTTCTTGCCGTTTTGTTTATTCCAATAGTATTGTCATTATATCCTCTCACACCGTTTCTTGAGGAAGAAACAGATGAAAGTATGGTGTAAGTATATTTAAGAGATAAGTTTTTTTAATTATACTGGATTAATCAGGATGCTAATATGATAGCTGTAAACAGATTTATTTATATTTTCTTTATCATTTCTGTAATAATAAATAAAACAATATTAATGCATAATATAAAATAGGAAAATACTCTTTTTTTTTATGTTTTTTCTTTTTTCTTTTATAAAGATTCTAATGTAATTTGTTTTTAATGCAGTATCCAACCGGAATTCTTAAAGGAAAATATATAATAACTGGCATTCGAGACTTAACAACTGGATATGACAATACAAAACCTGATAATAAAGCAATTCTTCCTATATCAAAATCTAGCCAAATGATTACATTCACATTCAAAAATGGTTTAGTTACTACTTTAAGAACCAGTGGCACGGAACCCAAAATAAAATACTACAATGAATTATGTGGATCGCCTGGAGAGTAAGTTTTTCCGCAAATATTATTTGTAAGAATATAATTCATTGTCACACTTTACTTCATTTAATTCTAATTTTATTGTAATTTAATGACATATTTTAGAGTCTGTTTTTAAAGTTGCTTGTAAAAATTTGATATTTTTATGTTATATAATATATCATTTTAATATTTTAGGGATTTAAACAAATTAAAATGCATTCTCAGCGAAATGGTATCGGCTATCATAGCAGAATTTCTTCAACCAGAAATTAATGGACTTATCGCTCGTGAGGAATAAATTACGATAATTGAATCTCTATTGTGCCTGGTGATGTTATGCATTTTACGTAGTTAACGCATTTAAATTTAAAATTATCAGTACATTATACAATCTATTTTACAATTACTTTGCAATAATATAGCACCAAGTGTCCAATTTCTAAATTGATTCGATCGTTTGTGCATATTTATGTTACATTACTAAATTTATGATGCGTTTATGATATATTAATTTAATTATATTATAAAATGAAAACGATGTTTCTATTGTAAGCTTACAATATAATAGAAAATGGCTGTGTACTTGTATATGTATATTACATACTATTTTGTTTTCTGTTAAAATTGTTGAGGGAAAGTTGGTTACATGTTATCTTTCCTGTTTCTTTAATTAATACATTGGGAAATACAATGTAAAAAACGCACATGGTATTCTCTAGTTCTACAATTTAAGAATTAAGTAAATATTTATTGTTCATAGACATTAATTGAAACTGTTTAACGATTATGTGAAAGGATTCATTTATTTATTTTTTTTTGGAAATGGCTGACATTAACAATTTAAAATTAAAATACCAGAAAATATATTTATCAGTATATAATGTAAAATATTATAAAAGAATGAACGTGAAATTAATAAATAATTTGTGTTTTATTATAAATTCTGTTTCATCAGCGCAATATACGATTTCAAATATTTTTCTAAATTACATTTTTACATTATTTAATTTTTTTTAACATGAAACAATTTGTAAGATATATTTTTAGTATTTTATTATATTATTTATTTAAAATTAAAATGATATTGGGTTGTTCGGAAAGTTCGTGCCGATTTTGAAGGAAAATTGAAACGCAGAAGATTTAAATTTTATACATTTATTAAATTATATAGGTGCCATTCTGTTCTACAACCTTTCTCCATCTTTCAGGCAACTTAAAAATTCCGTCCTTCCAGAATCTCTCAGGTTTTTCAGCGAAAAATTTTTCTAAGTGATTTTTTACCTCGACCAAAGAATTGAAGCTTTTTCCATTAAGGGAATTTTGTAATGGTCGAAATAAGTGGAAATCAGAGGGCGCGAGGTCTGGTGAATATGGTGGATGGGGTAGAACATCCCAACCGAGCTCCAACAACTTTTGTCGAGTTATCAAAGACACAGGCCGCGCATTGTCCTGATGAAACACGACGTCCTTCTGATTCGCTATTTCTGGACGTTTTTGTTCAATTGCTGTCTTCAATTCGTCTAATTGGGAACAATACTTCTCTGAATTTATCGTCTTGTTGTTTGGTAAAAGCTCATAATACAAGATCCCTTTCCAATCCCACCAGACACAGAGCATGACCTTCTTTGGATGAAGACCGGCTTTTGGGATGGCTAAAGGTGATTCATTCCGCTTTCCCCGAGATCTTTTTCGTTCAACATTATTGTAAATGATCCATTTTTCATCCCCCGTCACTACTTGCTTTAAAAATGGTGTCTCCTCGTTGCGTTTATAGAGCGAGTCGCAAATGGAAATGCGATCCATCAGATTTTTCTCCGTTAAATCGTGGGGAACCCATACATCAAAACGATTTATGTAGCCAAGTTTCACAAAATGCTTGTGGATGGTGGATTTTGACATATTCAACATTTCTGCTAATTTACGTGTCGTATAATGTGGATTATTTTCCATCAGTGTTTTAATCTGATCTTCATCTGTAGTGGAGGGCCTACCCGGGCGTTCTTGATCTTCAAGATTGAAATCACCAGCTTTAAACCTAGCAAACCACTTCCGCACAGTTCTTTCAGATACAGCACCTTCGCCATAAACAGCGCATATCTTGTTTGCCGCTTGTGTGGCATTTTTGCCTTTGCGGTAAAAGAAAAGCATTAAATGCCTAAAATGCACTTTGTTTTCTTCCATATTCAAAGGCGTATAAAACTGATAAAAATTAATGTAAACCAAATTTTTTTCCAAGTATGCTTGAAGTACCGTCTTTTATGATATGTACGCATGTCATTTGTTTTCAATCATTCTGATATATTCAGACTTGTCCTTACGCCATCTACCAAAAATTGGCACGAACTTTCCGGACAACCCAATATAAAACGTGTCGGTAAAAGAAACTCCTCGAAGAAATATTTGATCTTTTCCACCGTTCGATGGCACCATCGTGATATCCGTCGTTCATACAGCGTTGAACGTTCTATATACTCCCTAAACGGTTTTCTGGTGTGGCGTGTCGTGTGGTTATTTGTTATCACAATTCTCTCTCTCTGTATACAGTGTATACAAAAATCGATTAACTGTTGTCATTCCTCCAACATTTGACTATCGTAGGCGCGTACGAAAGATACGGGAAGAGAAAAAAATTCAGAGAGAGAAGGATCGGTTGCGGTATCGTCACATTTCCGCAGATCCGCTCATATGACGGTGGCATCGACACCCACGGGTGGAGCAGAGTCGCACGCGGAATGACGCGCTCGCGGCTGTCACGCTCGTGAGAAGACATAGGCCCGTTGTGTGTCATCACGCGAACATGTCACCGCTGTCTCGGCGAAGGGATCGCGAGCAAAGAGCGACCAACTTGAGCGCGGAGTCCGCGCCCATATTCCGGGGACTTCAGGTACACCGCACCCCGCACTCGTTGAGGTCAAGTAACTCGGGAAGAGGGCTCCCTCGTTTCCGAGCAGCTATCCCTTGCGAAACTCCATCCTTCGCGGATAACGCGAGAATGATGTACCATTCTCTTCTCCTACATATGATAATTAATAAGGGTAACTTTCAACTTGCAGCTTCGTAGATAATACACACAGCTGCAAAAGTCGCGGTCTATAATCCGTCGGAAATGACACTAGCCGATCTGTGAATTGACGAACGATATCCGCGATTTGCATACGCTGATAATTAGCGTATCGTTTCGCACGCCTTCATATTCTTTTCTTCCTCATCTTGGTAAATTTATTATGCTATCATCATGACTACAATACCGCTGACTGATAAACAGCTTCATCAACTGGTGAGTCAAGAGATCGCACTATATATGTCGGATTATCACAATTATCTCATATCCTGAATGAATTGGGAATTATGTAGATGACACTGAGCGTCCCTTTTAAAAAAGTTAACAAGAAAATGTTGTTTAGATATCCGACGATGAAATTGAAATTATTTATCTTTGATTTTTATAACATAAACATATGATTGTTTGTTGTTTATAGAGTATTAGCATTGGGAAGGCTGTAAATTCCACAGAAACACCGGTGAAGGAAAAACATGTTCGAAGTATCCTTTTCTAATCCAGAATATAATTACATATTTGTAGTATTTATTATTAATATATACATCCAAGAGATACATAATCAAGAGAGAAAGTTAAAAAATTCCTTATGAACGAATAGGTGCCATTATTGGTACATATCGAGAGAAGAGTGGCTGCATCTTCTGGACGTATATGCTGAGACAACCGTTGCAGGAGAATCAGATCGTCGCGTGGAAATTTTGTCATGTTCTGCACAAAGTACTGCGCGAGGGACATCCTCGGGTTATCGTCGATTCCCAACGGTATCGCGGCAAGTTGGAAGATATTGGAAAACTCTGGCAACATCTTAGAGAAGGTTACGGTCGCCTCATACAATTGTACGCAAGACTGCTAATAACTAAATTAGATTATCATAAACGGAATCCGCGCTTACCTGGGAATTTGCAAGTAACACCGGAAGAGCTCGAAGCAATTGGAGAAAATGATATTAATATATAGTGAGTGTTGTTTTTTTCATAATTTTATTAAATGTGATGGCATATATATGTATAATTTGTTATTTTTCTAGCTTTCAGATGTCAGTTGAAATGTTTGATTATATGGACGACATCTTGAATTTACAGCATGCAGGTATTTCAAAATAAACTTTAAGTTGCATTCCGAGAGCGCACTTTCAACGTTAATACATTTTATTCTTATTTTTTGTCTAATAAATAATAAAGATAAATGGCGCATTAATGTTGAAAGCGCATTCTTGAAACTAATATTCTAATTTGTTTAAAAGATAGAATAGATTGCACATTTTTTTTTGAGATATAAATTTTTGATATAGAACAGCACGTTCCTTGAGATCTGTATTTGTAGTTTTTGGTTCTCTGGACTTATCACGATCTAATTCAATGACACCATGCGGCCAGTGTCGACTCGCGCCTTTAATTCCGTGTATTCAGGATGCTTCGCAATTGTACGATTGCTGTGTGAAAATCCTGTTTAAACTCCACGGCGCACTTCCGGCGGACACGTTAACAGGACATCGCGATAGATTCTCAAAGCAATTTCATGAGTTGAAGAGTTTTTACAATACTATCAAACATATGCAGTATTTTAAATATTTGATAGCAATTCCGTCGTTACCTGAGGTAAAGTTTTTAATTAACTAATTAATACAATAATATTCATATCAGACTAGAGATTGGAATTGAGATTAAATTCAATCAAAAGAAAGAAAACTGATATATTCAAATTTAGTGAATTATTTTGATCAAATTCCATCTCAATCTCAATCTCTAGCTTGATATGGGCATAAAAGAATTTGTGCATTATATCACATTTATCGTATTTTAGAAGCCACCTAACTTTTTAATACAAGCCGAGTTAAGAACGTATGTCACACCGATAGTGGTACTTCCGCCCGAAGAATCTATAGATTCTGAGACTGCCATAGAAAACCTTATTGATACATCCGATACGGGATCATTAACGGGCGATCAATTGGATTCTGTGAATACACGAAACGGCTCGATATCACCTGATGCTCTTGTGGAAAGGTATGGCATTTTTTCTTTTTCTATATTATCTTTCTGTTTTGTTTAACACAAATTGAAAAATAAGAAACGGAATGCATTCCATTTGATGATAAATCGACACAAGTAAGATCTGTTACTCATAAAATATCAAGAAAAATAGAATAATTGTATCAACTTGTGTCATTAAATAAAAAGCACTCACGATAACTATTTTTGTATCTATTCTTTTATATGTGTTCTTTCAGAGACAGCCTTATCGATCACTTATATCAAGAAAATGTTCGTCAAAGGCAAGAAGTAAATCATTTGTTAATGGACCATCAACAAATAGTTGCAGATTTTAGAAATCGCGTTTTAGAATTGGAATCGACTCTTTCTACTAAAGTAAGTAAATTGTTTGTCACGCACTTTAATAATTTTATTTTGTTTCGTGAACTAATATTGCAAATATTCTAGAGTAATGAAATTGTAACGGAGAAACAAACTTGTCAGAAATTAATGAAGGAAAACGCAATTACATTAGCAAAAGTTCAAGAAATTGAAGGTATAATTTTTAATTTCAATGTATAATTTCAATTACAATGTATAATTTCTGTATGATTTTATATGATTGCATTATTTATTAAAAATTGTGCATACTCTTTTAAATGACTGACAATGATTTTGTTCTTGTTAAATCTTTCAAGGAAAAAATGAAGTATTAGAGGAAAAATTTAAAAAACTCAAGGATGTTTACTCGAAGCTGAGAGAAGAACATATCAGTTTAATCAGAAAGGTATGTATTTGAGATATCAGCGATAAAAAAGTTATTATGTCCATTATTTTATTCACAACAATCTTATACATGAAAGAAAGCTGAACTCGATAAAGAATTGGGAGGAATAAAGATATCACGAGAGCAATCTGAACGTCGAACATTGAAAGCGGAAGAGCGATTGCAAGAGTTGCTTCAAGGACAAGCGTCGACAGAACAAGAAACGCAGAGAGTAGCGCAAGCACGCGAAGATTTAGAGGATGTAAGAAAGAAACTTGACGCTGTCCAAACCGAAAATTTGGTAAATTAAAATTTTAATGAATGCTTTAATTACTAATTATTCTATCACGTTGATAAAAAAATTGTTACTATTTGTCATTGTAGGCATTAATAGCAAAAATAGATTTTATTACGTCTGAGAAAACAGCTTTAGAAGAAGATCTCCATGATTTACTGATACAAAAAGAAGAACTAGATTTACGAATAGTAAATTTGGAAACCGATGCCGAACGATCCTATAATCAAGTAAAAATAGACGCTAACACGGCTCTTTTTGATTTACTATGTGAGTAATGAATATGTATATTGAATAAAAATTTATACTAAAATTAATTCATACAGAAATGGAAAAGATTATTTATTTCAGTGAATGCTATATCAGAAGCGGAATCTATCTTACATTACGCAATGCATGCGATCGATAATCCGGCCATATCGGCGTTAACATGCACGCCCGATTATCTCGAAAGTTTATTAGAGCCGACAGAAAAATCATTTAATGATTTGGAGGAGGCATATAATAATTATATGCTTGATACAACGAAGGGAAAAGTGCTAATTCGTACTGCTGTACATAGTGCATACTTTTTGGCTCTCTATCTAATATATGCAAAATCCACTTCAAACACATCGACAGATATTGGTATAGCTGATAGTAAGTTTTTTTATAATTGCATGATAATGCTTTAAATATTTGAGGGCAAGATATTACTTTGAGAACGTGGAAATTATTGATAAAAGAATAATAATGCTGTATCGGACAGTCTAAAATAAATTACAAAATATTGTGGAATATAATAATTTTTAACGCTTTCTATAAGACCCGTCGTACACTTGTAGGATTTGCCGATGAATGTAAACAGTTAGGTTCGCAAGGTTTAATTATGTTGAGTTATATCAAAGAGAAGTCGTCAATGACCGGTGCGCAAATTACAAATGTCAAAAGTCAATTACAAAAGATTTCGTCTCTCATAAATACATTATCAAGTACTCAGAACAACGTGGAAATTGTCGGAACTTTAGTAGAAAGTGAGTTGCAGAGTATGGATAAAGCTATTGAAGAAACGGTTGCAAAAATACAGGTGCTTAATGATAAGAATACTTATGCAATAAAAAAATAAGAAAATAAGCTTTAACTTTTTCGATTTATTTTTAATAGGATATGTTGGATAAATCTCGTGCGGCGGATTCAGGTTTGAAATTAAAAGTAAACGAACAGATCTTGGATTCTTGCACGGATCTAATGAAATGCATAAGAAAATTAGTGCAGAAGTCTCGCTTGCTGCAGAAGGAAATTGTAGAACAGGGAAGGGTATGATAAACTTATTTTAACAATTATTTGAAAATATTAGCTATCTCTGATATATTAAATAATAGGTAAATAATTGACATAAAAAGTTATATTATAATTGGAAATCTTAACAATATTTTGTTTAGGGAACTGTTTCTGCTACTGAATTTTACAAACGTAATCATCAATGGTCCGAGGGTCTTATCTCAGCAGCAAAAGCGATTGCTATGGGCGCAAATTTTTTATTGTAAGTGTCAAGTATTAAACTGTAATTGTCTTGTAGTCTTTCTAATAATCTTTCGAAACATAGTTATGTGTATATATGTATTATTACAGAGAAGCAGCAGATAAAGTTGTGTTAGGAAATGGCAAATTTGAGCAATTGGTTGTTGCCTCACAAGGCATTGCGGCATCTACCGCGCAATTGGTAGTTGCTAGTAGAGTTAAGGCTGACAGAAATAGTACTAATTTGACTGAACTTTCTAAAGCTTCGAGAGAAGTGACTCAAGCTACAGCGAACGTTGTGGCGACTGCTAAAAGCTGCAATCATCTTGTTGAGGAAAATGGTATTTGATTTTAAAAGACATTAAATTATTATGCCACGTCATATACTGTTTTTTAATATTCTTAATTTTCTTAATACTCTTATATCTTAATTTTACAGAAGATTTAGATATGTCTAATCTAAGTTTACATCAAGCTAAAAGGCTCGAAATGGAGGCACAAGTGCGAATTCTAGAATTGGAGCAAGCCTTAGAAACTGAGAGATTACGTTTAGCCGCACTTCGACGTTATCATTATCAACTTGATGGTGAGAATGAAGCATGAGCTGGATTTGAGCATCGATTGAATTTAGATTAAGGATATTCAACAAATACAAAAATCGTATGTAGATAAAGAATCATAGCAATCGTGTAAATTAGTCTCGACTCAACTAACCATAGAGATCGGTTTTACGTTAGAAGCGAAACTTCTATTATTCATACATAAGCATTTACATATTATGCATGTCTCGAAAATCAACGATCTAATTTTCCGTCATTATATAGATCTATTAAATGTACTTTATTGGATAATGCTCGAATATATATATATATATATATAT